AACCTGTTGCCCTGAGATGTTCCTTTGACAAGGCCCAGGAACCTGTGGTATATATGTCATATACACACACATATATATCCCTAATTTTATATATATATATGTGTGTGTGTGTGTGTGTGTGTGTGTGTGTGTGTGTGTATCCCTATATATATCCCCTAAATAGATATCAGTCAATATATATAGTGAGAGTTTTTAAATTTAGCGCTGACTGGTCTGGATCTTGCTATATAGATCAGACTGGCCTTAAGTTGTAGCAATCCTCCTGCGTCTGCCTCCAAAGTGCTTGATTTACAGCTCTAAAACACTATGTCCAAGCAAATGTAGTTGTTTTACTTTTGTGTACATGTGTATGATGTGCCTGCTCATCTGTATGAGCGCTACACATGCAGTGACTGAGGAGACAAGGGTGTTGGATCCCCTGAAACTGGAGTTAGAGGCAGGGGGCCACCATCTGGGTGCTGGGAACCCAAGCCAGACACATCTCTGCAGCTCCTCCTAATGTATTTTCGATGGCCGGAGAAATCTCATTGAGGTACTGCTTTGGTTTCCTTCTATTGCTGTGATAAAACACTATGGCCAAAGGCAACTCGGAGGAGAAGGAGTTGATTTTCCTTACACTTTCAGGTCACAATCTATCACAGGGAAGCTGGGGTGGGAACGCAAGGCAGGAACGTGGAGGCGGGCACCATGGCTGAACACGGTATGCTAGCTTGTTTTCCAGCCTCCTCTCAAGTTCATGATCAGCCAGCTTTCTTAAACAGCCCAGCAGCACCTGTCTCGGTATGGCGTTGTCCACAGTTTGTTGGTCCCTCTTCATCAATTAATAATTAAGACGATCCCCCAAACCATGCCCACTGGCCGATCCAATGTAGGTAACTCCTCAGAAGATGCTTTCTTCTCAGAGGACTCTGAGCTCTGTCAAGCTGCTAGTGCTAAGTAGAACAGGTACATTGTGTTTTATTGTCAGTCTCTTGTGGTCCATCCCTCACCATCCTCAGAACTCATGTCAGAATGCTGTGGATATCGCTCTATATAAATAAAACACTGTTGGCCAGTGACCAGGCAGGAAGTATAGCTGGGACAAGGAGAGAGGAGAATTGGGGAAACAGGAAGAAGGAGGAGGAGACACGGCCAGCCACCACCAGGACAAACAGCATGTAAAGACGCCAGTAAGTCATGAGCCACATGGCAAAAGTATAGATTTATAGAAATGGGTTAATTTAAGATGAAAGAACAGTTAGCAAAAAGCCTGCCACAGCCATGCAGTTTATAAGTAATATAAGCATCTGAGTGATTATTTTATACGTGGATTGTGGAACTGTGGGGCTTGGTGGGACCTGAAGAGAAGCTCTCCAGCAACACAGAATCCTAACAATGACCGTCAAAACTACCTGCCAGGAAGGCATTCCAAAATGAGTTGAGGACAGATTCACATGTAGGAGTCGTCCCATGCCATCTCATCAATGCAACCCTGGGCTATTGGAATAACCAACGCTCTCATTTTATCTGAGCCAAAGCTGCACAAGCTTCCAAATGCCTCACTCCCTGGGTTGTTTTCTTCCAGCACTTTCCTTACAAAGTCAGCGGAAGAAGAGGAACCAACTGCAAGCCCGAGGCTTTCTGGCAGAGCTACACCAAGACTCAGTCCAGTGACGAAAAACTGAACACCACTTTCTGAGCAAAAGGCAGTGTAATCTATGGCTCATTTGTGGGCCTGTTCCTGGAAATATACACTACAGAGTTTGTCACTGAAGAGACAAAATGAGGACAGCCACAAGCCAACCGCACTTGCCTTGCCAACCAACACGATAACAGTAAGTTATCTTGTGGAACCAACTCTCTGATCCGGTGCTGTTTGAACTGGCAGCTTTTGGTATTATGCATACTCCTCACGGACTGTTTTATCCCAGTTATTCCTTTGAAAAATCTGTTCCCTTTCAATGCTCTCTGCTCTCTGTTCCAGGAACAAGCAAAAGCACAAAGAGGCTGTGTAGGAGTTATAGCTAAAGGAAGTCACCAGCATCTCCCAGGGCCTTCCTTCTGCTGCTACCCAGATGGCAAGAAACTGACAACCTAAAGCTTCACCAACTGTCCAGTGAGGATGCTCTGTCCATGTGCCCATGGTGCCCGAGGATCATCAGCTTCTCCGTGGGCAGCAAGTTATGCAAACTGATCTGCTCCAGATCGCCGCCAGCCCTGGAGTGCCTGGAGTGGTACTCCCTCTGCCAGCCCTGATGCTCTGTGTCCTTTCTTCCTCATTTATGCCTATCTCTCTACTGAAGAGCTATACAGTCTTTGATGCTACCTGCTACACCACATGTGCCATGGTCCCAACAGGATGATACTCCAACTAGGGCAGCAGTTCTTCTTTTACCAGCTGACATATCAGGCTCATGAGCTATCCTCAGGCTTATGGTAGAAAGAACTGGACCAGTGAGATGAGGCAGCCACAGCAAACACATGAAGACTAGTGCGTCAGCACGAACACACGGACCGTGAACGTCCTGCTATGGTCCTGCCCTGTGCCCCTGTACTCAGGTTCCTGCAAGTCCCTCTGCAGCCCTGGCTTGGGCAGGTCTCCAGGAGTGCTCTAGGTCTGCTATTGTCAAAATAAGAACTCCTTACCGAGCAACCAGCTTCTCCCATGGCCCCCACCACCTCTACTCTCACTGTAGCAGCCTGTTGGAGCCGCCAGAGGGAGGCAAAGCTAAGCAGGCAGAAACAGGTGGCACGTGTGTTCTCTTGCTCTCCAAGTTCAACACCACTGGATCACTGCATACCCCTTGCTTCCTTCCCTCTTTCTCTAGGGATCCCAGTCCCTGAAATGAGTCACTCTGGGGTACGTACCTGTATTTGTATTTCTCCCACTGAACAATCTCCTCCCACCACATATCTCCTCCCTCCACAATCTCCTCCATTCTGGTTCCCAGATTCTTCTACCACACCTGGCCTCAGCCTTCCTCCATTATAGGTAGGCAGACTCTAGGACACTTCAAAAACACCCAGGGATAAAACACATCAAGATGGCCTGGCAGTGGTGGTACACGTCTTTAATCCTAGCACTCAGGAGGCAGAGCCAGGTGGATCTCTGTGAGTTCGAGGCCAGCCTGGGCTACAGAGTGAGATCCAGGATAGGCACCAAAGCTACAAAGAAAAACACTGTCTCAAAACAAACAAACAAACAAACAACCACACCAAGATAACACATATGAGAGCAAGCAAAAGGTATTCCTTCAGAGTTTGCTATGGATCCATCACTTGCCTCAGAGACTCACAGAATCCATCACTTGCCTCAGAGACTCACAGGAAGGCAGGGTGAGAAAGCTTTGTGGTAGAAAAAAAAAATGATCTGAAGGTCAGCATCCCATGGGGGCTGTTTTGGAAACTGTGGTGGTTTGAAAGAAAACGTCCCCCAGAGGGTGTGGCACTATTAGGAGGTGTGGCCTTGTTGGAGAAAGTGTGTCACTGTGAGGGGGCCCAGGCTTTGAGGCCTCTTTTTTCTCAACCTTCCATCAGTGTGACAGTCAGTCGACTTCCTGCTGCCTTCTGGTCAAGATGTAGCCAGCACCACATCTGCCTGCACGCTGCCAGGCTACCCTTCATGATCATAATGGACTGAACCTCTGAAACTGTAATCAAGATACTCTCAACTAAACGTTTTCCTTATTCGAGTTGCCATGGTCATGGTGACTCCTCACAGTAATAAAAACCCCAACTAAGACAGAAATTATATTTGTTTTCTCATTTTCAATCCCAAGTAGAAGTATGGGGTCAGCAAGCATGAGGGAGCCCTGTCATAAACGGGCAAAAGTTGTCCCTTTCTTTGGTACCATTGATGAAGAAGTCTCAGACCTGGTCTTATTTTTTAATGAATGGACTAGTCGTCATTCCTTTGAAAAATTGTATCTCCCCAATCATCCATCCCATCTATATCCCCAGGCTATATCATCTTTCCAGGAGAGAACTTGTGGGTGGCTCTAACCTTCCAGATGCTGGGAGAAGGTATTTTTGAAAGAAATGCTTCAAGGGGCTGGCATTTCCTACAGGTAACTTGAGGCCCCGGCCTTCAGTCTTGTAACGAGGGCATCTGAGCTCTCTGGTTTTCGCATGGCGAGTCCAGAGCCCCAATCTACACCTCCCTTGTCATTAGGCTGCATTCCACCACAGTGTAGACATCCAGGGGCCACAGACAACTACATATGGGGGTGGCCTGAGGAGGCAGCTCAGTGGGGTGTTGTCTACCATACAATAAAACCCTAAGTTTGCCCTCAACACCAAACTGATTTGGGGGTTCGTGCCTGTAATCTCAGCACTCCAGAGATAGACACAAGAAGCTCAGAAGTTCAAGGCATTCTTCAGCTCTGAGAGGAGTTCTAAAACAACCTGAAATACATGAGATCCTGTTGAAAGAAAAGGGACAGGGAGGAAGGGAGGGAAAGGGGGAAGGAAGGTAGGAAGGGATGGGGGAAGGAGATTGTATATAGTCAACATGTCATCATTTGTTCTCATGAATAATTTAGAAACAGAGTTTGTACCACATGTAAGATTCTGCATTACACATGGACGGGGAACAAAGGAAAGGATACGGTGGACATTCTGTAACTACAAACTGGTACTAATCCCATTTTTGTAGCCATGCATCCTCCCAGATTCGCTTTTGTTGTGGTTGTTTCCTCTTGTGTGGTTCTCTTGCACCATGATGTGGGAAGTAAGTGATGTCCTGATACCCTAGGTTTTTGAACATCTTTTGCAAATCTGCCAATGAGAAATAAGCATTCTATACTAGTCTTCCATCTCCCCCAGTCTGGTGAACAGTAAGTGATGGCACACTGGTGATTCATTGAGTGCTATTTAGTTCATTCTGTCAGCTGTTTATTAATCTGTAACTTCCTGCTGAGATGCAGGGTGTGCTTTTTAAAGAAACCTTACACAGCACAAGTTTTATTTTGGGACCGGACACACTAATATACAAAGAGGATCTGCAAGAGTTTCAGAGTCCTACAAGGGGTTTTCTCGCAGCAAAAAGTTTTGTAATCACTCACTGGCACACCCAAACACTGTCCAGTTAAGTGGTAGTGTACAGATGGATGAACTCTCCTCAGCTTCAAGAAAATAATCATCTATGCCAGGGAACTGAAGGTAAGTACAATCTTGACATTCAAGGTCCATCTGAGAATCAAGAGAACTGGAATATTTTAGAGAATAGAAGGATGAGTACCATAGGAGACTCTAGAAGGGAGATTGATGAAGACTTTCAGCTAGTGGGTATCATAACAAAGCATCTCATTTTGGTGACCGTGGAGGGGACAGAGTAGACAAGGAAGAGCTGGAAGGTAGGGCAATGGCTTGACAGTTATTCAAAGAGTTTCTTGCAAATGGTTTAGGAAAGAGGCACTGAAAACTTGAGAGCACAGGGAGGAAGCGGATGGGAGAGTTGAGAAATTTTCATTAAAAGACATTACAGGAGGAGGGTGAAAGAGGACCTGAATCAGGGGCTGGCTTAGAATTCTTGGTGGATGGTTCTGTCTTCAAACTGAGTGGAAGAAGAGAAGAAGTGTGTTTAGGTGATGTCTGTGGGGATAATAGACTCACTTTGGGGACTGATGATGTTTATATGCCACCTAAACTGTGAGTACATTATTTGGGGCTATCTACATCATGTAGGGACATCATTCAGCCACTGGACATTAAGTTTGCCATTTGAGAAAGAAGTGCGGACTAGAAATATGTAATAGAGCAACATCTACCAACTTGGAAATATTTTTTTCCTCCATAGAACTTCATGAATAGCTAGTGCTTCAAAGATACATGCCTTATGTTTTGAAAGTGTTTTATACTGTTGGGATACTCCAGATCACAGCACTTTCACAGTGTCAGCTTCTATGTTGGGTGTTGGAGATGTTAGAGGAGAGAGAAGTACAAACTGAATATGATCCATCAGTTGACCTTTAGACTGTTAGTGCCTACATGAAAGCATTACTTGTCTCTCACTATGAGAGGGCTTTAAAAATACACTAGCCATTCTATAGGAAACTGTTAGTTACGCTTATCTGAAGAACACTGCTGGGAAACTGTTAGTTATACCTTATCTGAAGAACACTGCACAATGAAGCTCTCCCCCCCTCCCCCCGCCCCAGTAATTCTTATGCCAGTCCCAAGAAAATGGGCAAAATGTAAGATATGTCTTTTACCATACAAGATGAAAATTTCCAGAATATCTTTTAGTGAGATTATCCTTTGTATTAGGGAATATGGACATAGCCTAACCCAGCTTAACCTAATCCTAGCTGTAACATCAATGCTAACTCTGGCGTGAAGCCTAGCCTGAAACCTAATACTAAAACTCAGCTTCATCCTAAAGTGAATTCTGATCCCCAACACTAATGACAAATCTAACCATAGCCCTAGTTTTCAACCTAAATGTAGCACAAACTCTAACTCAAGCCTTAGCTCCTTGCTTATTCCCTAAATAACCCTACAGGTGACATTTTAGGTGTTAACCTAATAGGTGAGGATGTTCTTTGGGACTCTACTAACTAGAAAAAACTAAAAGTTGACTTTCAGATTAAATAAGTAATTTCAAAGCAGGTTTCATCATAGAGTCTTTATCAAGATATCACTTCCCTGGCATTTCCAAAGAGGACAATCCAGGGTATAGTTTCATTTCTAAGTGTCTACAGGACACACTTGATTCTTCACTCTGCCATCAGTAAGTGGGGCTTAGGAAGAACCACTATAAAATTTTAGGAAATATTTCTAAGAAAGAAGATTTATGTGGAGGAAGTACTTTCACATATAGCTTTCACAAAGTATAAGCTAATCTTAATTTCAGATTTTAAAAATCTCCCCAAAGAGCAAGAGTTTTCTATTCCTAGAGCCTTTCAGAAGGGCTGGGGTCACAAGCTCTTCTGTTTACATTTAAATCCCAGTGAGACCCCACCTGGCTCTTGCCAGCTAGAATGTATCTCGATTAGACCGGTGATCACTAGGGTGATGTGTGGCATTTGGCTCTGGGATTTATAGGCATAAAGTAAGGCAACACACTGTACTGCACCTAGGAACTCACAGCCAAGCTGAGCAAGGAAAATGATTAACACACACAAGACAAGAAAGAATGAGATGAGACAGATAAAACTCAAATTCATAATTGGAAGATCATGAGGACACAAATGCTCCTAAGTGCTACAGTATGTGGCATACTCCTGGATACTGAAATGACCCAACATTACAGATACCAATGGAAGCAGTAGACAATGTTTTCTCTCCTCTGTGTAGCATGAGAAACCAGAACTTTGTAACATATATTCAATTCTTCCCAGGCTCTTACGAGGAGCATAGAGCATTATTATTTGCATATGCAGAAACAGGCTTGGTGGAATTTCTTGTTTGCCCCCTAATCCCCCAGCAAGAATGGTAGAGATTTGGACTCGTGTTGCATAATTTTGAATGTCACAGAAACTCATTCTGTTTCACCGAATAGATAAGGCATGAACTATGCCCTGGAGGACTGAGCAAAGCTTAAGAGCAAGTAAAATCACTTTTGAATTCAAAGGGAATAAGAGGAAGGCAGGAATCTGGGGATGGGATTGCAGAGAGATAGAAAACATGGATACAAATGGAAACCACTGGAAGATGTGGTGCTTTGAGTGCCAGCACAGGTAGTGATATTTCATGTAAAGCCACGGAAAAGCCAACGGTGTTTTGAAACAGAGAGCAGAACTAATGAAAGACGGATCTGTAGTGGTGACCAGGGCAGACTAGAAAGCAAGTCCTAGAGGCCAGCTGGGTGACTTTCAGGGGTGACATCAAGCGAGAGTCTGGAATGTGGTAGTAAACCTTAGTATAAAATTGAAATACATGGGCTTATGGGGCAACAGTTAGAGGGTAGGGTAGTGTTTGAGTACAGGGGGTGAAGGAAGCAGAAAAATGAAAGAATTCCACAGTTTTAAAAGCTAGATGGAGGCAGGCAAATCATGTGCTCTTTCTGGGTCTCTCAGGAAGAAGAATGATGGGGATGAGATCAGCCTCATGCAGACGGTACAGAAATCCGGTGCATACATGGGACTATTGCATGAATCCATCACTCTTAATGAATAAAAACAATTTCAAAATGGCAAGAAACATGATGTTTTCAATAACATTATTTATTATTTTCCCGACAGCTATAGGAAAAGGGAGGATCATTTTCTTTAAGGGTGTGGCCTCTGGGAAGTCTAGCATGCTCCGGCAGCAAGCCAAACACCCAAGAGTGTAGGAGCAGCACAAATTGAACTATGGCTATTTCTTTGTCGTTTGCTTTTTAATGACATAAAGTCGGGTAGGCAGGAAAGTGGGATGGATCTGGGAGGGGATGAGGAAGGGGTGAATGTGATCAAAATACACATGTATGTATGAAGTTTTTAAAGAACTAATAAAAATAAGTATTCTCAATAACCATGTGAATGAAGGAAAAGATTTGTTAGAAGGAGTTATCTTGGTGCTTTATATGACTAGATTGCATTACTTTGTACAGCTCTGAAATTTCCAAACTGGTCACAATGAGCCTTTATTTAGTTTTTATACTGAGAAAACCTTTAGGGACAGCTGTTAGTATTCAAAGAATTTAGATGTGCTATGTTTCAAAGCACATATCACACAATGAGCAAAGAAGGTGGGTTCATCCTGCACTGGCCTTCGAGAGTCGGAGTGGAATGGAATGGCTTCTGAGAATTGGCAAAGGAGGGGCGACCTTCACGGGAGACAGAGAACACAGCTCAGAAGACAAATGCAGCAATAACAGACAGAGCAGAGATGCGGCCTCAACTGGACGGGACCAGAGTCCTCGTCAGAGGCAGGCTGACCTTTGGGAGCTGTTTACATCTCAGATAAATACAGAATCGACTCCGGAAGCAGATAAGAAGACAGTTATGTCCCAGTTGCAAACAATACCTCACAAAATACTTCAGGGGGGTCGCTAACCTCAGGGAGAGCTCTGCTAGAATTCCTCCCATTGCCATCAGGACTGTAAAGCACTGTGATGCATGTGCATTCTTGAATAAAACCAAAAATCATCCACCCAGGGCCACTACAAAATATCTCTGTGGAATTAACTTAGTGAATTTATATTTAATGAAATATAATGTTTCAAAGAAATACACTCACATGTGTGTCTTTGGGGAAAAATAATAATTGAAAGTCTAAATTATGAATATCTTAGAATGATTTTCACCCATGCCAATGCCTGTTTTCCTGGCTGGTGAGCCGCTAACGGAGCACAAATCCACCACTCATGTGAGGGAATATGGAGCTGTAAACCATCCACCGGACTCCGGGATTTCGGCTACATGTGCTGCCTCGCATGACCTTGCACTCTACCACTTGAAGTGAAAACCATGGTAACTATCTCTGACAGATGAGTTCCCGACAATGGAGCCTTCCTTTCCACGCAGCTTTGATTTCACTTATTTTCGATCTGCTCAAAGTGCAGGAAGTTTTCCTCAAATTATTCTTTTCTTCTCCCCACAAAAAAAATTAGCCTTGCTCTTTGTTTTTGCTGCCCTCCTTCCCAATGTAGAACACCTCCAGGAAACCCCCTAAAATAACCAAATCTAGAAAGAGTCAAGATGTGGTTCTTTTCATCTGGGGACTGCTTGTTAGTTGACTTTCTATACACCTATCTGTGCCTGGCTCCTTGGCCATGTTCACATTTGAGGGGAAATAGTGAGCACAGGGAGCAGTGGAGGTGCCCAGATTCCTTGCCAGACAGTGTCCATGATTCCTGCCGGATCTTACAGGTACGGAATAAGCATAACTGCTCTGTATTGAGGTAGAGGATTTCCCTCAGTGATGAGATTTTTTTTTTACCCATTGGGGACTGTCAAAACAAACACAGCAAGATTGTCTGCTTATCTCTCCACACAGGAAGCGAGCAGCATTTGGAAAACAAAACCTCATATGCTGGTTGTAAAGTTTTAAAAGATGAACCTCAGACTATGTTTGCATCTTCAAAATATCAAAGGGGAGCCAGTGCTGGAGGAACATTTGACCTTATTTATAGAAACGAAATAATTCAACTTCAAATGGCTTTTTCTCCTCCAGCTCTCTCAGAGTGCATTTTAACTAGAATGGCTGTCAAAATAAGCTGCAACTTACCACACCGCATGGAATCAGTGTGACATCGGGACCTCCATAAGAGGCCACTGTTTGTCTAACTTTAGCTACCTCGTGTACTTCCTGTAGTGTGCTTTAGCTGGCGGAGCCGAAGGGTCCAATTACCCTCTGGCTAGCTTTGGGATCCTCTTGCTCTCTCTGCCGAGGTGTCTCCTTCTGCACTTATTACTTCTGGTTTGAAAGGCTTATTCTGTTGATGAACTTATATCAGCAGAGAGCAAACAGAGTCATCTCCATCTATCTGGAAAAAGAAAGAAAAAGAGTTTCTGAATCCTTTTGCGGATGGCAATTTCTACTTGCTTGATTACATGTACATTTCATACAATTTGCTTGAGAAGTGAGCCAAGACTGTGTGTTTTTCATCCATGACTTGGTGTGCAGAAGAGGAGGAAGATGACGAAGAAAAGACCCTGAAGATTTTGAGGGGAGAAGGGACTGGAGTTTCACTGTGTCGTGGAGCCTGCTGGGATAAACAGCCATTCACACACATTTTGCATTTTAAATTCCAGGCACAACCTGAAACCCAAAGAGGAACGTCTGTGAGGAGGTAGCAGACTCCAGCCTGGTAAGTCACTGGCACTCTCTGTGGAAGCCACTAGCAAGAAAGCAATTTAGGGGGAAATTCTGTCTTTTCCATATCCAGGGTTTTGTAGAAATAAGAATTCTCACATGGTGGGAGAGGAGCCTAGGAACTTTGTAACAAGACTGTTTGGTGCTTATTTTCCCTCAAAGATCCAGAAAAACAGTCATTTTATCAACCTCATTCTACCCTGGCATAAAGATCAAATTGTCTGTAGCATGGCAAGATTAAGAAGGTTAATGATGCAAATTTTGCCTTTCTTTTAAAATATTCCTAGATGTTGACTCTTGGTACCTAGGCTTTTCATGGACAAATGCTGAGGGATAGCATTGTATATGTGTTCATGTGTGTTTGTGTATGTGGGAGCACATGTACACATGTGTATGATGCTGAGAGATAGCATTGTATATGTGTTTATGTGTGTTTGTATGTATGGAAGTATGTGTACACATGTGTATGGAGGCCAGAAGACAACATCATGTGTCGTTCCTCAGGAGATGTCCATTTTATTCTTTAGAGACTGGAGCCTGCCCAGTAGACTAGGTAGGCTGACCAGTAAGCCCCAAGGATCCACCTGTTTCTGCCTTCCTGGGACTGGAACTACCAGTGTATGGCACCACACTTGCCTTTTGTATGTGGGTTCACATATCTGGGGATCTAACTCAGGCCCACAAGTCTTTAAGCAAGCACATCACTGATTGAGTTATCTCTGCAGCCTTAAGGGATGATTTTTTTTTTAATTAAAATTTTAAGTGTATCATTTTGACAAGAAATTTAATTTAAATACACTAATAAATTAGAATAGAAATTTTGCTTTTTTTGCCCTTTGTTTTATAATAGTGTTAGTGTTAAAGAGATAAAATCATCTGAAAAGCATTTAGCTGATGACAAGTCAATTATAAAGAAAATTTTAAGTGATAAAAATATTAGACTAAGACACCACATATATATTTTAATTGAGTAAACTTCAAAAAACAGTATTGCAAACAAAAACAAAATAAAACAACAAACCACAAAGAATATTTTATTTTTATTTATCTTTAATTCTCTCTAGTTTTATCATCAAACCCACTAAATTGGCTTTTATATGTCCTTTGCCCTCATCGTATCAATGAAGAAATATCTAAATGTGAAATTACTGCCATTTATTAGATACCAAAAAGAAAATTGTTCACTACACACACAAGTATCCCCATCTCCATGTGGATCAGTTGCTAACAACAATATATGTAACTGTTCTCTTGGAAGATGAGCAACCATACAAAGTAACGTAAGTTTATAAATAATTAGGAAAAATAATTTGACATCATGCAATCTTGTACTGTACCATGCTTGTTCCTAAGGAGAATAGACGCCATGATTCATGCAGTGAGTAGCAAAGGCTAGGAACTGTGTGGAAGGTAGACACAATGCCAGCTTCATACCTCAGCCGCGGTTAGGTAAGTGGACAGGACAGGAAAGAGGAGCACATGTAGCTGGCGGAGTTTGGGAGTGCATGGTACACTTCCACGGCTGTAATAGTACTAGATTCTTAGGAAAAATTCTTGCAGCATCAAGCGATATTATTTCTGCCCTTCTCCATCTGCAAGTTTTCATTTCCCTGAGATAGGGGAAGGGAGGGAACTTCCTTGGCCTCTTCAGGGCACCCTTTGTCCCCAAAAAGAAGGAACTAAAACTCTCAGTTTGGGATCCTAAGGAAGCCAGAGCAACGCTAGGGGAGGCCTTTGGGATTCTAGAGGGTCCATGTTTGAATGGGTCTAAGAAAACATGAGGAGTCCAGGCAATTTTGTGTTGAATTTCTAGACTATGAATTTTGCAAATATCAGTGGAAAAGGGACGTGCGTAAGTGGAAGAGAGAGGCTTTCACACTAAACCTGCCTTTGAAGCCAGAGCATCTGCCCAACATGTGCCGCCATATCTCTGACTCTTCATGATGACTTTCCAGAGGGTATCTGTGTGGATATGGAAAAGGACAGAGCCTTCTTCCTCTTTGTAAACAGATGTGGGTCAGCCAGGGAGACTCAAAAAGATGGCAACCGGGTTAGTCTTGGTGACTGAGCATCTTGGCCGTGAGAGGAATGGGGGTGTGTTAGGGTGACTGTGAGTTGGCAAAATGAAAAGACAAGTGGAGAATCAGAATCCAGGTGTAATGGATTGTAGGAAAGGAGAGAGGTATGTGATAGAGAACTAGATGAAAGGAAAAGGGAGGTTGGCTGCTGGGAGTGAAGAAGGCACCAAGAGAGCCAGAAACTTGTGACAGGAAGGACTTGTGATGGTCTGAACTGATTCTGCTAACAGAGTACGTGTCTGTATTCTGGGTGGACTAGCCATGGTCATGGTGCCCAAAAGGTAATAGAACAGAATGCCCAAACAATTAGACATGGCTAGGAAATACAGGATTTCTCTTTCGTGCCTTCTAACTTCTTACATACGTCTCCTAATTGCTGGGTCCTTTGCCTTGATTTTAGATGCCCATTCAGTGTTGTACTGATAGGTTTAAATGTCAACTGGACACAACCTAGAATTACGTAGTAAGAGTCTTAATGAGGAATTATGTAGAGCAGGTTGGCCTGTGTATATGTCTGTGGGGAATTGTCTTGATTGTTAATGGAGGTATGGAGATCCAGCCCCTTGTGGGCAGCACTAACCCCAAGGCAGGGGATCCCAAACTGTAATAGAGGAGAAAATACCTGAGATCAATAAGGATATGTAAATTATCTCTTTGATCTTGGTTATGGATGTGGCAAGACCAGCTGCTTGAATGCCTGTCATGATTTCCCTGAAATGATTCACTGTAACTTGGGAATGTAAGCCAAACAACCCCACCCCACACCAGAAGAGGAAGGGAGCCACAGCAAAGCTGCCACATGTTCATCCCCAGGTTTGTCATGTGACCGGAGTTAGGATCAGAATCTGTGCCCCCAGCAGCTATAATAAGCTGGGTTTGGCCACACATCTCCGATAGGCTAATTGAAAGAGCCAAATTCATAGTGAAAAACAGATGAAGGAGGTTAATTAAGTGTAGGTGCATCGGGAAATGGGGCAAAAAGATTCATAGACGGGCACAGCCTCCATCCACCCACCCCACCCCATCTATCCATCCATCTTTCAGGTCCTTAAATTAGGGCAAAGTTTTAATAGTAGGCAAGAGAAGTGCATAATTTAGTAGCCCATCACTGACCCGTCATTGCCTTCAAGGTGGTTAGATAAGTCATTGCTCTCCTGTGAAATTCCTTTCCTGGAGACAAGTTTCTGGCCTGCCCAGGTGTCAGCCTTTTCCTTCCCCTAGTGTAAAATTCAGGGGAGAAATTCCAATCAATTAGGTGCCTTTTTCAATAGTCCATGTAGCCAGTCTCTTTAGAACATCCTCATTCCTTCCAGGCATGCTGGTTACAGTCTGTTGTAGGGTTCCTCTATGTGTGGTGGATCCTGACAGCTGATTCTTCTGGGCAGTGAGAAGACTTTAATATGATTTCAAAAATATTCCTTTGGGTACCTCCAGTTGGACTCCACTAAGGTGGATGTTGATTTTCCTTGTGGACATCTTCAACGTCTTCTTTCCCCTCCAATCCTTTGACCATGGCCTATTCCAGACTCTTTCTGCCCAAATGAAGTAGGGCCCCTGGAATCAAGCTCAGGGAAACATCTTTAAAGGTTTTGCAAATGAGCCTTCCTGCTTATGTATGGGCCATTTGCTGACCCAAGCGAGGAGGTTGCCTCTGTACCCAGCCAGTGATGGAAGGTAATGTACTTCTGATGCCACCCTTCTCTTCCTCGCTTGCTCTGTGGTACAGACTGCCATGTCAAGCCTGTGGTGAGTGCTTTGCTGGGCCTGCTAGAGCTCCTCTCCCCTCCTTCCCCAGGGCAGGGTGAGGGAGGTGGGGAAGCTCAGCTTTGTAACATGTAACACGCCTTGGTGGGCTTTGGAATTTTATAGTATCTGGAATTTATTATTTTTCCATCTTTAAGGAAAAACTAAAACAAAACCAGCCAGCCACATCCTAATAGTTAAAAACAAAAGAAAAACAAAATAAGCAAACAAAAAATAAACAACAAAAAAAAACTACAAAGAGAAAGAAGAAATGCCCATCAAATACAATAAAATGGGCTGAGATACCACAAGATTTCGCAGGAAAACTTAATCATCTAAATAGTGAATCCAATATTGAATGTGTGTGAGCATGCACACATGTTCCTACTGGCATATGGATCTATGTGGGTGCGTGTTGGGGCCTGAGATTGAAAACAGGTATTTTCCTTAATCACACTGCACCTTGTTTATTGAGACAGGGTTTCTCACTGAACCTGGAACTCACTGATTTGGCTAGACTGCCCTGACCAGCAAGCCCCAGGCTTTGTCCTCCCAATCACAGGTTATGCTCAAAAACAGTTTATTCAGTGAAAGCTTCTGACACTTCAGGGATCAAATAATAGAATCAAGGTCTCCAAAACTTCTTCAAAGCCCAGTTTTTCTTTTAGACAAATTTGATCGGCTAATTAAGCTTAAAGGGAACTTCATAGAAAAAGATGAAATTGGAATATTGTTAAATTCTTAGAAATGGACTTTTAATTAGTTCCTGCAAATCTTTTGCATATGTAGTTGGTCAAAGTAAGATAATATCCTCATTTAAATTAAAACATTTTAGAAAATAAAAAACATTTTTAAAAATGGGTTAGATTTAATTTTGATATGTGGAATTTCTATCCATTGACTTACCTGACGTTCCCTTTCAAAACAAGGTCTAAAAAAACCAGATGAAGGTCTGAGACACCGTTTCCAATTTTCTACTTAAAAGTTGTTTGCTTTTGATGGCTGTCTCAGTATTTTCCTGTCTTTCAGTTTCCTCCTTGTTTGTTTGTGCTTGTTTTTGGAAACAGGGTCTCAATGTGTAGACCAGGCTAGGCTGGAAACCACAGCCACCACCTCCCTCAGCTTTCCAGGTGCTGGGATTTGTAGACACTAGTGAGCCACCACACCTGGCTTT